CTGAAAAGAAAAGTACAGTCATTATGCTGTAATTCAATCAGTATTTATGATTAATGAGCATCAGCCATAGAACAAAGGAATTTTTTCAATTGTGTGCTTGAGTTTAGGAACATTTAACTAGTCCGAACTTGCACTGTTGAGGGAAAGAGGTTCTCTTAAGTTTAGCTGTTCTATGAAATGAAATAAATCACTATACACATCTGAACTTATTAAAAAAAGTGAATTAAAATTACTTGCACTAGACAAACGACTGTCTGATAAAAGCTGCATCATTGCATCACTCTTCTGGGGCACCAGCCACTTGTTTAACTACATATAAGTCTGACCTACAAGCAGCATGGGAAACAGCATTTCAGCAGAAGAGTTAAATTATCTGCATTGATTTATCAGTAGATTCGAGGGAGTATGCAAGACCAGTTCCATCTAAACAGGAAAAAAACGCTGAACACATAGACTCGATACATTCTGGCAAGTTAGATAGGAGGCCTTTTCAATACCATGTTAGAAGCACAGCCTCCATTCCCTCCCTCAGCAAGATGGAAGAAAGATGCCTGCCAAGTTCCCAAGATAGACACACAAGGCTTTGACCACCAATAAGAGTTGCAAAATGCACTCATCGTTYGTAGGAAAAACAGGAGAGACAAAAATGCAAATGCTCATAAAATTTTTTTTCTGGCTTAAGTGAATCTTTTCTTAGGCACCATTGAGGGGGAGGAGGTGCAGCACCCAGTGTTACTGATGCCTACAGGGGCCACGTCTCTTCAGACGAAGACAACACAAAGTTCACTGGTAGCTTCAAATGCAAACAATGAAATAAGCTTTCATACAAAACTATGAGGCAAAGCCTGAACAACTTTTTCATCACACAAAGATGAAGTATCCGTGCCTATTGCATGCCAAACCTGCCAAGGCCTTCAGAGGAAAAAGAATCATGTGTCTAACAGGGATATTATTCTTGTTTTTCAATTTATTTTCTTATTCCCTGCTCAAAAATTTGGATGTTCTAGAGATAGATACTGAACATTCTTTACAACACCACTAAATGTTTAGCATGAGGAAATTTCCTGTAATAAATTTATTCTACTAACCCTATATACTTCCACATACAAAGGTCTACATTGGACTTGGAATCCAGTATCTGTTAAAATACACGCAAATCTTCCCAGTAATTTCTTTAGACTATTAAAAGGGTCAGAAATAACTCTCAACAGAAAGCAGAAAACCTTACAAGTTTTTCAAACCAACTACAAAATATTCAAGAAATTAATGAATGGCTTGTGCTGGCAGTACTGTTGTCATTCTTACAGTATTGTTGTGGTAACATCGCTAACAGACAAAATAGTCACCAAGCAGCTCTGCAGAGCTTCTCCATGCACTGCCCTTGTGTAGTAAGCAGTGGACTGGAKACACAAATCCTTGCCAATCTGCTCTCCCTGGCCCATTGAAAACAGACCCATGCCATCCCAGTTCCATCAGMTATTCCTAACAACAAACCACAGCCACCCTCCAGAATAATCAAAGGTCCCCCTAAACATTGCCTTCCCATCCACAATACTTCTGTACAAAGCATATAGGTTATTTTGTATACCTCTTACTAGTCCAAAGGAGATTAAAAAAACCAGTTACAGACATGTCAAGAGAAAAAAAAAAAAATCAATTATCAAACCACAGTGAGAACCASAGAAGAGAAGGTAGGAAGTGCCAAGATTTCCAAGATTGCCAGAACGATCATGCTGAGAAAGGGGCAATGAGCTGGCAGAGACAGTGCACACCACAAACTAGGCAATGCTTCAGTTAGCACTAGGATACCAATACTGACCTGGCTTTTAAGTTCTAAAACATCTGCCATACAACATCCCCTCCAAGGCAAGAAATCAGAACACAACAGCACTGAAAATTAAACCGTTGTCACAAAACTTCATCTAAATTCTTTGGGTAGATTTAGGGTTGAATTGCAGTTGCAACAAATTCTGAGGGAGGAAGGTATAGCAAATTTAAGGAATCTTCTGCTCATTTCTTGTTGTAGAGATTTTCTATCACTGCTAAGAAGGCGWTTTTTTTTCTGAAGTGCTATTTTGAACAGTCTTTATATGAATTTTACTCTCTTCAATAGCATCAATATTTCTCCTGAAGGGTCGTTTATAAATGTTTTTAAATATGCAAGATTTTGACCATAGATAATGCCTACAGGCCAAACATTTTCTTCAAATTGCCAGGGGGAATGAAGTAAATAAAAATACCTTTACCATCTATTGCAAAAATACACCCAAGATTAATGAAATCTACAATTAAATGTATAGATGATGGATGTTGATTCAGGAACTGAATGGTCTGAATGGTCAGAGACACTGACTGAAAGTGTTCAGAAATTTGTCTTTCTCTTTTCTTKTTAAATTTGAGAAAAGAGTATAAATGGGTGAAGTCATTACTGCAAGTCGCTCTGCCCTCTGTGGCTTGTTTTTTAATAAAAGCAAGCAAACCAAAGAGGTAAAACATTCTRCCATACAAAGCATGGAAGATTTATTAACTCTTGGATTTGTTGTTGCTTTTGCAGAAAGACAAAGATGGGTACTTTATATCAATATATGAAAGTTATTTTAATTCTTTGATTTGTTTTTGTCTCTGAAGACTGCATGATAGATTCACATTTTAGAGAAATGCGGCATTTTGATCATACAAAATCCCAAAGATACAAAAGAGTGCCAAGGACGCAAAGTAATTGTTTTGTAGTATAAAAACCAATGTAAGTAAGAATTGGATTTTGTTATTTGAAGACTGTTTTCACTGTGAGGCATGATATTAATTCACCTTGATACTAATTCCAGAGGTAAAAACATAGTGCTATAATATTGTCCATCCTTAAATTTCAATTGAGGCAATAATTATGTCTCATACAAAGACGGTCTTSAAGTTCTAATTTACAGTGACAAGACACTAAAAATACCCCAAAGAGTCCATGCTTATTTAAAATTGAAATGTCAATATGAAACACAYCTATTTGTAACATGTCCATCACCTCTTTAAATAAGTAACAGAATGACCACCTTTGCAAATCTAGCACCCTGACATATAAAGTTTCACAAAAAACAGGCAACAGGTGACTTGAGGTGAGTCAACTATAACAGCACCCCCTCAAACCTCCAAATGCAACTTGTGTTTTTCAATACTCTCAACCAATCATGCACGGGGAAAGAACCCCTTGCCTCCAGCACACCACTTGCAAAAAAAAGGAACTTCCAGAATCATCTTGCAAAGATGATATTCATCATTTTGAAGATAAAGATCATTTGGATTCAGACAACCTGAATATGGATCAYAGGAACACAGGCATATATATTAAATCTTACATTCTGGTTAAGGCTGCTAGCACTTTACAATTATAGTTAATACTTTTGCTTAGCTACTAATATTTTAAATCTTTGACTTTTTCAGTTGATMAAAAAAATCAGTAGGTGGCACCTACACATAAAGGATGCAGAATGAAGTTCCTGGGGATACAGACAACAGGACCAWTTTTTCACTTGAAATCACAAGGGCATAGCGACTCCTCTTACTCCACAAGGCAGAGAAGGAACCCTCACCCTAAGTCAGACTAGCAAACTCCAAGTGCCTGAAACAGGAGTAACACCTTTTCCTTCCTTCATAAACAGGCCTCGCTGTCCTCATTCACTTCCTCAGTGGCCACCTGTCAAAGCGCTCGGCTATCTGCCCACACATCTGAAGATTATGCAAAGATATAAAGCAGCCCAAAAGGCAAGAGCGCACTCCTACACAGCAAGCTTACRGCCCACGTTCAGCACTCAGCTTTCCAGGTGGTTTCCAGCAGCCTGCCAGAGGAGAGGCACGACTACCCACGGCTGTCAGTGACACCATAACCAAGGACCCACGCCTGAGCAGGAGCCAGAGCTCATCGCTTTCAATTCACTGGAATGTATTTTAAAATAACATTTAAAAAAAAAACCTACAAAAAACTTGAAATCCTTGTGATTTAAGTCTAAACATGATCAAATTATACCAGGAGAAACAGCTTAAATGCCCTGCTWAATCACGTGAAACATGCTTTTTAGAACTAGTTTCACAGGTCCAAGTCCATAAAGCRTTCACATTGAAATACATTTCACAGTATTTGGGCAAAACGTTATTGCTTTAACAGATGGTAGTTCTACAACAACAAAACAAATACATTTTCCTGCAGAAAACATCATTAATAGTCTCAATATACATGGTTTCCATTAGCTACTTGCTATGCACTTGTTTGTCAATTTTGCATCTTAAGTGAGAACATACAATGATCAATGTCAAAGCAGAAACAGTTATACTTCAGGAAAAGAGCATATACTTAAAAGAATATTCAGAATGTTACAGTTCYGCTGAGAATCTGAGAAGTGCAGTCTTTTTTTCTGCAAAATATAGCTGTAACTACTCCATACAATTGCTAACACAAGGAAACATGGAGTTACACTAGTTCAGAATGTGCTGATCAGGGACACAGTCAATTTAGCTGCTGTTCTCAAAGGATGGAATGTACTATGTTTACTTCTGGCTTATACCATCAATTAAGACAGGTATTTTTAGTTTTTACTATAACCATTATTTTAGTTAAGCTAGAGCCAAGGCTCTCCAGAAACAACTATCCATCTAATACCCCAAACACTCATTTTTTGTAAACAATTTTTTTTGCAAAGTTTGTGTCAAGTTAGATTCTTCAATATATAGCATGGATTTAAAATGACAAGTTTTAGATCGCCAAATTTTCCATCTTTTGCTTCTGAATTCAAAGGTAAGGATCATCCAAAAACACATATTAATACTGTTTCCCTGTAAGCACACAGGTTTAAGAAATTTTCCCGTTTGCTTATATCACATGTTGATACTCAGCTACCCAAAAGTACAATTTAAACGTAGGTAGAACATTTAAACAGTCACCCTGGTTGAACCTAAAAAAAGCTGTGTGCTGTRGAAACAAGGGTTTAGATTTCCAAATGCCTTCCTGAATATCC